AAAAAAGAAAACCAGATGAAAGAAGATGAAAGCATATTTACCCTGCATAACCTGCACACATCAGGAATCAGGGCTGGAACCCACAAGTACTTTTTGCACTTAGAAGTTTCAGCCCATTTCAAAGGCTAGGTGACCAAGGAAATACTGAGATTTTCCATTATGGGAGGTAGGGAGGCATTAACAATAATCTGTGAAAGTAATTCCTTCTAAGATGCAGTCCACCCAGCCACAAGCTCTAAACAGCTCCTCTTCTTCCCCTGCAYCACCCATCCCAAATGCCAGATATCAGCCAGGCAAGCCCCCATACAGAAATATGAAGTAACAGATGGAAGTGGGGAATAAGAGCATAGGAATAATACTGAAAGAAATGACATACAGAAAAGAAGCTTATAATAGGGCAGATCTTAAACGTGAGTAACCCTAAACCATAAAGTCAATTCATTTGATTAGAACAATGTTGAACAGATGCACATTCACAAAGGGCTGAGTTAGAGAGCCTTATTCTCTCATGACTCATGCCATTGTGCAGAGGTCTTGTAACATCCATGGAATTAAACCTTTGAAATGCCAGTACAAGTAAATGGAGAAATAAAAATAATCAAACTTCAGAGATAAAGTATTGTCAGCAAATATCCCGTGCTGCTGTATCAGGAAAGAAAGGTAGGTTGCCACATTTAATTTAAATATATTTGATTTAGATATATACGTAATCACAGGGGTTTTCATAAACAAAATGCATCTAATCTACCATAAAGAAGAAAATGAGTTGATTCTATTCTTGTCTAATTATCCAGTAGGCTACATCAATGACTTTCAGTTGTATTAGATAGGAAATTTGGTTGAGTTAAATAATGTAATAAATACCTCTGCAGGCAGATCAATCAAAGAAACAGGACAGTTTACAAAATAGACACAGGTAGCACACTGATGAACTCCAGGCTTTTGGAGCGAGTTCTCTTTACATAAGCACAGGCAAAACCCCCCCACACTTATAAATATGTAAATAATCATGGATGGATGAAGGAGAGTATAGAGCATCTTTTACCAAAAGATAAAGCAAAGAAACAGCAATTCATAAGTCAGTGAATCSATCACATAATTTCAGCACAGCAAGAGTGGACCTAGCAAAAAAGAATTTTAACAAGCTGAGCTGCAAGAATACCTTCTGCAGAAGAACTCTGCTCACAAATGCAAATAAGGTAAAATTTCTGGATTACTATGTTTTGCCTTCTGATCCAGCCTCTGAAACTCTTACACAACACAAAAGCTACAACCTAAATTTTTATTAATAATTAAGACATTTGAATTGGAACAGTCAAAAGATTGGGAAAAAATGTTGTATTCTGTGGAAATTTTTAAGAATAAGGACTTTGTGTGATGATCAGCTTTGGATGTGTACAGCATGCTGCCACCTAAAAAAATACGAAAMTAAATATAGAGCAAGCATTGATATACATTCACCTTTTTTTCCTCCTGAAAGCTATCACAACAGGTTCTGCATGTGTGAAAATTTGTAAGGAAAAAGGTATTCTGTCTCTCTAAGATGTTTATTGAAAAATTAAGTCTTCTTTAAAGAAAATTTATTTTTTGTCAATTTTTAACAAGCTTTAATCCAATTGAATCACGTCATCAGAAAAAAAAAATTGTTCAATTGAGCAGTCTCTAATTGGCAACACTAATTTGTAAAACTCATAGCCAGCTCTGCTCATTTATGGGMTCYCATGTTTTGTTTTACTGTGAAGTTCAGTCTCATGAAATACCAGACTGCATTAATCCACTCATGCCTGGATCTCTAACCTTTATTTTTAAAGCCTGAATAACTGACACATATTTTCTTTTCATAGAAAGAAGTCTGGGAAACTACCAGCTCCTTGCACAAAGACTGAAATATGACAGGCAGAGAAGGGTGTTGGTGTCGGTAAGAGAAAAATGATTGAAGTTGCATCATCTGTATGATGAAAATCATTGTGTGAATTTTGATTTTTCCCCCCTACTTTCAGACATTTGAGGATGCAGTCAAGTCAATGGAGTTCTGTTGTAGTGGTTGCTTCAGTGAACATTCAACGCTGTCGGTGAGTTTGGAATTAAAGTGAAAACCATCGACCGTTGATTGTACCCTCCAGCTAACCATCCTCCTCCTTACTTCATGCTTTCAGGCCTTAACACCGAAGATAGCAACCTAACCATCATATGGTGTTTCTCCCCCACCCTGCCAAGCTTTACAAAAAGGTCACAATCAACATTCATTGCTGTCGGTGGGTTTAACTATGTGGACAAGCTCACTGAACAATGAATGCAACTGTGGCCCCACATTGTACAGTTGCCGTTGAGAGGAGCAGCAGCTCTGAAGGCAGTAGTGAGAAGCAAACACTTCTTATAAGCTACAATTTTCTGGTCAGAAAAATAGTTGGGGGTATCCATGTTGTGCTTAYTTGGTTTTTGAGTGTGTTTAACTTAGCTGACTAGGAGAAAAAAACCCACTGCCTTTTTGTGGAATATTGTCCTCACAGGGTTCAACATCATTGAAAATGTGAAAGTTCATGTTTAGTTATGTATGCTGAAAAAAAAAAAAAAAAACTAGGAGAGGAAGCTCTGTATATCCAYTCCTAAGGACTCTGACATAAGAGGAAAGAAAAATTAATTGCCATTTTAACTAGGCATTGTTGAATAGTTCAAAAATTTATTCTATACTAGTCATGACAAATACAAATGGGAAMAAATGGGATTTGAAAGTTATGGATAAAATGTTATATAAAAATATTAATTAACTTTACATGAGACTGATTTCAAGACCACAAGTACAATTGCATTTGCCTTTTTTAGGGATCTGGAAGATGACAAATGTATATGCAGAAATAATAATAGAAAAGCAGTTAAACTGGAAAATGATTGTAAACTGAGAATCTGTCACACTGAGTACTGCAGATACAAATAATAAAAGTATAAATAAGCTCACAATTGTGTCCTTATTTCTTTATAACTCTTTATTAACCTGGTTAAACACACAGAAGGAMCAGTCTACATTTCTCACAATCATCCAAGGTAAGTTCAGCCTTTAGACTAAATGCAACACAAATATTCTGCAGTAGGAATTGCTTGCAAAATTAGGAAATCTCACAGCATACAATCATATCATTCTTCCTCATTATGGGAATGTTTATAAACAACACTCTACTCTGATTGTTTACAAAGTTTCCTCAGCACATCAGTCACACAAGTTCTCTCATATACCAAACTTGCTTGTTTTATGCATGTTCCACCACGTAGGAACTGAACTGCATCTCAGTATCAAGGCTATCATGGCATGATACATCTAGAGCTGCTTCTTGAACTTTCTCTTATCAGTCTAATTAAATGGTAAAAATATATTTCAATCACGAAAGAGATCAATCCTCTGTGAAACTAATATTTATAAAACCGCAGTTCCTCAAAAGGCATAACCCCACTAGCAAAATTAAGCCTGAAATTATTTTTACATTACTTAAAATTGGCGTTTGGGAAGATTATCTCTTTTCATTCCAATATTTACTGGAGAAGAACCCACATAGTCTGTTGCTCACTGAATACTATCATGGTCAGAGACAGAAGAGTAAAGTATTAAGAGCTGCTATGGATAAATGATTTCTCTGCAGCAATGTTCAGAGATAAGCCTGTATCTTTAGGTTTATCCATTTCTACAAATATGGGAAGCTGAATTACTGCAGACTTACATATTGCAGATAGATAAAGATCATATTAAAAGCAAGACTCAGAGGTATACATTCTGTCTAGATGRAGAAATTTTCAAATTAAGCTGAAGCTAGTATGTTTTTGCTACAAAACACAGTTCTTTACTGAAACTTATAAAACAGGCCTTCATTTTGCAGAACACTGGTTATACCTGTGTTATGTATTTTAAACACAGAAAATACTTACCAATACAGAAGAATCTGGAATTTCTCAACACTTGAAAGAACTAATGTCCTGGAACATGTGTGGTTTCTGAATACATGTTTTCTGTGCTAACTGATAACATTTGAATGATTAGCATTGAAGAGGGCTAGACTCCAGTGCAAGAAAAGGATAAAGTTACCTCCTTTTCTAAGGGAGTGCTTTTCTTCAAAATRCATGTCTCTTCAAATTTCTATCATAATTTTGTTCCATACACTTATTAATAGAAGAACAGCAACTCACACCTACTAGATCAGGATGCAGAAACCTCAGCCAGCATCAGCCTAGGCACAGATTGTCCACTCTCATTACAAATATAAAACRAGTATTTCCTCCTGGACTACAAGTTTTTATCAATTTCCAAAGAGGAGAATCCTCAGCCGTTGTCTTTAACGGTGCCTAGCATGAAAATTTATCAAGGATTTTAGTTACGGCATGTTTTCATACAGAAATAAAAAAATGTCTGCCTAGTRTACAGATACGTAGAACCTCATACAACTTTAAATCAATCTATACAGGCTAGTTAATTAATAATGTTCATTGGAAAACAACACCATTATTCCACACCCCACAAAAAATGCTGGCTTGCACACCTCTTACGTTATGTGGTAAAGCCACAGAACAATCCTAATTTGGTAATGATAACTGTGATATACTGTGGAAAGGTTTCACAGTAATTTTCAAGTTTTTTTTGTTAATATCATACAYATGTACTCAGTACAATGCCCACAGGCCACAGAAACATTCTAGAGAATTGCTCCTCAGTGTCATTGTAAATAATTCACTCACAGCAATATTTTTAGGTCAGGCATATCAAAGTTGCAGTAAATGYGATGGACCTTGACATAATAGGAGCACTGGTTTTACAGCAGTGGAGGAAGAACAGGGAATGCACTTCCCATCCATGAGAGATCAGTTGCTGTTCCCTAGTGTACACATCACCATGCTTGAGGACAGCAGAGGTGGTATTAAGGACTTGTTATGAGGTTTGGAGTCGCTGGGCTTTTTAATTACCTCTAAGTTCCTTTTTCCTCTCTGGTTTCTGGCATAAGAGGATTTAAAACATCCAGCCCAGCAGCTTCTGTATCAATTCTATAACTTYTGTTTAGCAAGTACAGAAAGGCACTTGTTTTTTACCTCTAAAACTAGAAATCAGAGAATTCATATGATAGAAATAGTCTGTGATATTCAGGACTGTGGCAGGATGACTATGATAGACTTGCTTTTTGGCACAGTTGACACCACCACACTAACATCTCTTGCTTTTACAGATGGTGAAGTGACACAGTARGTTAAAGACTTAAATATAGAAGTCATTTATAGTTGAAATAGAAGCAGTCTCTRGACAATTTTAGACATTCTGAGGGGGAAAAAAAGAATGCTCCTGCAATCCAGTGTTTAACCTCATGTAAATCCTGGTTTTCCTGCCCACCGTCTTTTTTTTCTTGTAAATGTRTATTTTCATTACTTGTCAGTTAAAGTGGCAACCAGGTGTTTTTTTTTTCAGCCAGTTGCATGGTGACACACACTACAGAATAATTCTTACATTTTGCTTTCTTCTATTTAGGTTTTTATAATTTTGTTTTAGCTTTACTTTTTTTTTTCCTCCTGTACATACCCCTCAAGTGTGAGTGCCAGAAACACAGACCACATTCCAAAGAGCCCAGCCAGGGCTAACTAAAATAATCTAATGTCTCTTTATTTTACAAGCAATCTCTGATCCTTTTCAGCCAAAAATAGCATTAGTAATGGCACCACACAGTTAACACTTTTAAATTTATCTAACATTATTCCATAGATACAGCATCCACAAGTTCTTTCCTATTTTAAAATAGATTATTTCATCTCCTTGAAATGCAACATTTGCAATTTTCTCCACTTGGAGAATTTTTTTTGAAAACATGGCTCCTCCTTTCCCCCTCAGAATCACTAATGTTTTGAAACTTAGTGGCAGAAATTACACGGTAACACATTATAGTTGGAATGAACTTCTGATAGAAGCAGAAGTCTATCATGATTTAATTTWAAAAAAAAWTGGAATTTCCATTGTACTCCATTTCCGCCAATTATTTGAAGAGTTTACACATTTTAAGTGAAAAAGAGGCAAGAGAAGCATGAGTAACTTACTATTCCTGCTGTCTGTACCTAAACRGTATTTACAAGCTCAGTATTTTACATTGGTTAGGGCCTTCACTTCATAACAACCAGTAATCACACACTGGATACAAATATGTCTGAAATACATGCAAGAGAAGGTTAACATTTGAGTTTAGCAGTTATTCATCTGAAAAGGAAACAAGGCAACTCTTCTAACTGCACAGCTTTCAAGTATGATTCTTATGAAAACTAACAAATGTCCAAGTTCTACATCTTCTGGTTATGACACTGCCCTCACATTGCTCCTAGAAACAAAAATAGTCTCYTCCTCCTCCTAGGTTTGGATATGAACTGACACCAGAAATTTAGGAAAGCTTCAGGTATAGAAGCTAATCCACAAGGCATGAGTTAGAACAGAAAGTTTGCCTAAATTTCACAGTAAATCAGAATTAAGCTCCTTAGTTACCCAGATAGAATGTAGGCCCACAGTGTATATTCTGATCTTCCCTGATTTTACTTCATGGGATGCAGCTGCTTCAAAGATATCCCTAAAAGTTTTGATGTTTTAACAAATCCATTTTAATCTAACAAGTTCACAAATAGATTATCACAAGACCTAATGACATAAACTGCTAGGTTATGTTTGTTTGGTGGGTTTTTTKTAATCATCATTATTTTCTCCACTAGGAATGTCACACTACATCTTTTTGAAGAAAAAACAAGTCAAAAATGGACCAGATACCACAAATCTATGATGCCAGTGTTGAGAATGTTCAGATACCAGGTCAGATAAAGAGGAAAGAGAGATGGAAAGCAACATACACCTAGCTTTCAAAATAGGGGGAACATTACAATACAAATAAACTGTGTATTTCAGCCAGAGTGTCACTTATGGGTAGCAGCAAGGTGTCCAAATAATCATATAATTCAGCTAATTGATTACATGGATCTATTATTTAGTGATTAAACAGTTAAAATATTTTATCACAGGCATTTTGAAACACTGAAACAAAAGAAAAATGCAAAAATATTAGTTTAGCTAGTGAGAGTTGAGTCCAGGTGGTTGCCCTCAAAAGTCAACATCATCATCTGATGTGTAAAATATTACTAATTATCACAGAGTACACCCCGTGCTAATTACTGTGTTTGCCTCAAAATAATGAGCCTAGAGTTCATGACAATAGATTTACATTGAAATGTCATCCAGTTCATTCGGTATCAATATGCTGCTGGTTAGCAGACTGATAAATGTGATAAAATCAGTGTGTAGGCTCTCGTTGAGCCAGGAACAGTGAACACACTTTAGGGAGGCCACAAACTGATAGAGGGGTAACAAAGCTAAAAGAACTTCCAGAGACATTCASGGTGTAACTGTAGGAGACAACAGGAGAAAAAAAAAGCAGACAGTATTTTAAAGACAGCAGCCAGCTGTGTTAAAAGAAGTATTTGTAGACTCCAAGAAGATCTCTGTAAAACATCCCCAAAACAATTGCTATAGATTGTTGAAGAAATTCATGTGGATCATAATCGGCTAACCAACAAATTCAGATCCTCTGCAGGTTTTGGAATCAACATACTTATATCAATTCCAGTGGAATTTTGCCAGTTTGTACAAGYTGAGGATTTGGTAAGCCAACACACAAGGGAACTGTGAAAGTAGTATGGTCCCACACATCCTACACAAAGGGAAAAATGCAGAGGTACATGCCACTCTTGGGAGAGGGGAAAGAGGRGAAACAAAAGAACATGTACTTCAAAAAACACATTTCCACCTACTGAGAAAGCATTTCTGCCCACAGACAAACTGTGGGTGCCCCAGACGAACAGCACTTGGACACCTCACTGCTCCATTGGTGCAGATTAATGCTTTGCAGSTACAAATAAGGAGCTTCTGAACACAACAGGCAGGAGAGTATTTTTGGGCAGAAACATCTCACCCACATTATGATAATCTGGCCTTTGCCACCACATGACAGTCTCCTTCACTTCATGAAGCTTGAGCTATGTGGGAGGGAAAGAGCTCACAGCTTATTTTTGGCTGACGATGGCCCCCACAGTACAAGTGTATGTATTTGAAGCAATGGCAGCT